CTCCAATGTATATCAGCAGAACATGTCAAAACCTAAATTAAAAGTTCTCACTTGCTTTTTTTATATAAAAAAAATAAATCTTTTGGTTGGCAGTCTCCCATTGATGACATGCAACAATCTTTGCATATGAAATCGGCTAGTCCCCTGCTTTGCTGCTAACTTTGTAGAAGTTCCAAAGCATTACTGGAGCAAGTGATCTATTTGGACTGACAATGCCAAGCTGGGACCTGAGCCCTGAATGAGCTAAAATTACCAAAGCAAGAAGAACATGGCTTTGGAAGCTATTTCCCCAAGTGTGGGGTTTCTTCTTGTCAAGGGAGTGATAAAGAATGTTGACTTTTTCCAGATGAACAGAGTTGAATGAAACCTCCAAATTCCACTGCAGGTTTCTGAAAAATGAGTTGCTTGTACAAAGGTTCCTACCCCTCCAGTTCTTCTTCCTGCACACAAAAATACACTTGTCTTCCCAAAGTACACGAGTTCAACACTGACTTTGGTGTGGTATGGGCTAGAGACTGGGCACTGAGACAGAGGCAAGGACAGCAGGCCCCTGTCCTGGGAGTTCTCTGTCTGGCAGGGAGAGAGGCACACTGACTACTAGCCAAAACAGTCATGAAATGCTACAAGCCATAGGCAAGGAACAAGCAAAGTGCAAAGAGAGTTATGAAGAGGGAGAAAGTCTCCCTTGGGAGCAGAGGGAGGTACAGTGTTCACAGTGTACTTTGCCCACTCCTCTCTCATAGTCCTCAAGCTGCCTGGACCACAAATGGGTCATGCGCTCATCTTCCCCGCCCCACTCACCCCAGAAGGTGAGCTCCAGTTAGATAGAGGCCTCATGTCAGACAATGATTAATCTATCCTGCCTGGCTCAAAGGAGTGCATGAGGGTGTGTTCACAGAATAGCAAGAAGTATCACAGCTCTAGGGCAAGGGAGAAGGGTGGGTGAAGCTGAAGAAATAAGGTGGGACTGGGGCTCTCTAGATGGCTATGTATGTCAGGCTAAGAAACTGAAGCTTCAGTCAGCAGGTATTAGGGAGCTACAAAAGGTTTTAAGGAAGAGCAGTCCATTGACTAAGATAGTGTTTTAGAAGATTATTCTGAAAGCAATTTGGAAACTAGAATGTAGCCTGAGTGATCAATTAGAAGGCTGCTGTCCTGGTTTTGATGAATAAGAGCTGAAACATACCTGAATGCATGCAGTGCTAGTGGAGCTAGAAAGGGAAAACTCCAAAGATAAACCACAAACCCACTTAGAACTGGCCTCTTCTCTGTGCTCCTCCAGTGTCTGGCTTTTACCTCTGTTTAGCACTTATGTTGGAGCTTGAAAAATACATCTTCCCTGAGAACAGTGCCCATTTTTTCCTCCTGATGCTAGCTTCCACTGAAACCCTATTGTAGTAGGGCCTAAAAAGTTACCTGTCTCCCAACCCTGGGGTCATGCTGTCACCTCAGTCATAGTGCTTAGACTTGGCACACTGGTGTATTCACTTAATACAACACTTGCTTTGGCCAATAGGAAGTAGTAAGGGGCATTATTTGTCCATAGAAAGAATCTCATGTACTCAAGTAATAATCATGTAGTACAGGTGCTCAGAGAGAATGACACAGAACTGTCAACTCTAAAACTAGAGGAACAAATTTTGGCCCCTAAACATCAAAAAGTTTGGTATCACCAGCAGGCTGGATTGCAGTTGGGTAATGGTGTATTCTCCAGATGGGTAGTTCTCATGTTCACAACCTGCTTGGCAAATACATGAGAGTAAGGTAAGATCACAGCTCAAAGGTGAGTCAAGCATTAAGGACATGTCTCCCTCCATGGGGGACAGGAGACCCTTTGAGAGGAGTTCCTCAACCAGATGACAATTGAGGCACTGGGTGGGGAGGTGTGTGAGCCTTGTAAAAAGGAGGCTGGTAACAGAGGAAGAGGAAAAGCAGAATAGGCTTGAGAACTCAGAAACTAACTTTGTCTTCTGGCTTGAAAACTTGCCTTCGGCTGTAAGTTTTTTCATTTTGCTTTTACTCCTTCCAAGCCATGCGGTTTGGCTGATGGGATTATCAACTACTTTACAAAGGAACTGCCAAGCAGGGGCCTGGCACCAAAACACCTGTGCTCCATTCCTAGCTTTGTCAGTTTTAGCTGGGGAGCTGCAGGCAAGTCTCTGGGCCTCAGTGTCTTCATCTATAAAATGGAAATAATAACCACAGCAGTATCTACCAAGGGTCAGGGAGAGGACTAACAAAGATAATGCACAGGAATACAGCAAGACTGTCAACAAAGGTGGGGTATTGTTTTTCCTTAAATTGGAATTGGAATTTGGTAAGAACACAAACATGCACTAGGAACTACACACACTGAAACCATGGTGTAAGCCACCATGCACAGTAAAACACAAAGTCCCATAGCAGTTGGCTTTGACATATAAGAAAAGATATACTTCAATATGGTTCTGGGTTAGCCTGGGCAAATACTACGTAAAGTAACAGACTTGTCACTGAGATTCATAAGTGGCCCTGAAGGTTCCTTTGAGAGAATGCTACTGGTGCCAGAGAAAGATTAATTAATTAATTAATGGTAACCCACAAACACCACACAGCTCTGCGTTCCTTTTGAGGAATCACCTCCTCACACTTGATGCTACTGTACACCTATATTTCCCATCGAGGAAATGCCAGATGAGCTCTTTAAGATGAAGTCACCTCCAGCAATTCTCAAAGCCACCAAGTTTAAGTCAAGATGGGGCCTTAACTCACCCAGGAGAGTTCTTACAGGATAAATGAATTCCCAAGCTTACCCTGGCCCTTGCAATCAGTTCTTCACCCACAGCAGCAGCACCAATTTAAAAATTAACCAGCTCATTGGGATTCAAAATGTGATCTAGCCAACCTCAAATTACTGTCCTTTTCTTTTTCTTTTCTTTTCTCATCCCAATGGGGAGAAAAAAAAATTAAGGGAGGTGAGGGGGGAAGTAATTCTTAACTCACTTGGCTGTAACTGGAAGCACACTTCTCTACATCTGCTCTGGTGGTTTCTAGACATTGCCCAAGTTTCTAATCAATTTGCTTTTTTTTTTAATAACCCCAAAGACTTATCAGCATTTTAATGTGGAGGATGAATAGTTTATAAGTTCAAAAACTGGCTACATGTGTCTTACTTATGTTGATTTTAAAGTCAGAGTTGGACTGCCATCTACCTAACTGACTTCTCTGCAGTTCCCGAAGAGTCAAGCACAGGATGTATATATATGGCTGCTGGCTGCTGGCTGGATGGGTGGATGGATGGATAAGTGGACAGATGGACAGATGAACAATCTCTAAAAGAGGAAAATAGCTGTTATCCATAAAGGCCCTTACCACTGACTTCCCCTGATACACATCCCTTCCATTCTCCTGGGCTCTTCCAGATATGGCATGATTATGAAGAAGCATGCTTTCTTTTCTTCTAGTAAAAGGGAAGCTAAGGTTACAACCTAGTTATAATTTCCTTAGGCCTATCCTCTTGGGGAATAATCCCTTCTCTAGGTAATTAAAAGCCAGCGAACAAACAAATTAAAACCTAGTCAGCTACAAAGAGTTCCCTTTTCCAAAATCTACTTTCCTTCACTCAGTTTTTCTGGCCCTAGGTGGTGAGTGGGTCTCACTATGCCCCAAGTCTTGTCAGAGAGGTAGTAAGGATACAGCCCTTCAAAGTGAAGTGAGACCTAAGCCCCATTGTTAATCAATTTCCAGTTCTTCCACTCCTCAACTCCCAAAAACTTACTTTCCAGAAGCAACACGAGGTGATCAATAGGAATCAGAGTTGTAAGGCTGACCCTCTGTTCTACTGCTAACTGACAAGGGGACCCTGGGCAAGCTAGGTTTATTTTTAGGCTAAATGAGAGGAAGCAAAGGAACTTAGAAAAAGTAGAGGTCTCAAAAGTACAAAACATGGATACTGTCTTTATTCAGTTCCTAACCCTGAGTATTCTCTTCCAAGTGGAAGGCAGTATGACTGTGTTTGCCCACTCTAAGTCATGCTCTTATCAGCTGCAGCTAACAGGCTGCTCCCTAAAAGGAAGTGATATCTTCCTCTCCTCTCCATGTGTGCACCCAAACCTCCTAGAAGTAGCTGAGAAAGAGGGCCAGCTGTCTTCTCTTTAAAAGGAAAAGGTGCCTCTGCAAGGCAGACACAGCACAGTAGAGGAGGCTTGAAGGGCTGGTCTTGTCCCATCACCAACTGAACCTCAGTGTCCTCATCTGCCAGATGCCTCTCTCTCAGGCCCTGGGTGAACATGGATGAGAAGTACCACTTCAACCTGACCTAGAAACCCTTTCCTAACACCCCAGCTCTCACTCAGGGAGCTTTCAAAGGGGTGCAGAAAGGGGTGTAGAGGTTGAGGGCTGTTTTAGGGCTTCTACCTTCTTACTTTCTGCCACCTGGCAGGAGAGTGGTGCTTAGAGCAGCGAGGTTCAAGACCTCCTCATCTGTCCAGTGATGGTCCAGATGGGACAAACATGTCATAGATTCCTTCTGTGAGGAAGGATTCCCACCCAAAAGATCTAGCCATAACTGTCTTGCCCATCACTCCAAGGAGATACCAAGGGCTTTAAAGGAAGAGAGACAGGAAGCTGAGAAACTTAAGGAGACAGAAAGGAGAGAGCAGAAAGGAACTCGAGAGGTAAAAAGAAGGTGAGAGAGGAATGGTATGTACAAGCAGGGAGAAACGGGAAAGTGAAGGAGAAGGGAGAATACAAAGAATCAGAAAGAAGAGGACAGACAGAAAAGAGATGAAGGCAAACTGACAGCACAGGAGTGTCAGCGAAGCCTGGAAGACAAAGGGGACCCTCGGGTCTTTTTAACTGATCTGGCCTCTTAGAGGCACCCCTAACCCAAAAGAAAAGCCCAGAGAGGCGGGCGGGATGGGGAGGCAGGAGCAAGCAGTGGCTCCCCGACCCCAGCGCCCGGCCTCTCCCCTTCCCGGCCCCCGCCCGGTCCCGCCATCCCTCCCGGCCCGCTCGCTCACCTGCCAGCGCCAGGATCTGGGCCTTGTGGAGCAACAGCGCGCCCCAGTCGCGGGGGGCGCGCGGGGGGTTCTCTGACCCGGCACCCAGCTCCTCAGGACCACGGTATACGGCGTACACCTTCTGGTTGTCAAAATCCAGTCGCGAGCGGGGGCTGAAGTCGCGCACGCACGACACAGGCAGAGCGTAGCAGACGTTGTCCTCCAGGAACCGCACAAAGGCGTACATGGTGGGCGCCGGGGGCGGGCCCCGGTCGGGCTGGTCAGCCCGCAGGGCGGGCGCAGAGGTGGGACCCCAGCGGGGGGCGCGAGTCACAGGGCCAGAGGGGGGGGCGGCTCCCTGGGACCAGTGCTCCCCCCACTGTTATTGTTCCTGAAAGCACCGCTCTGCCAATCGGCTGCTCTCGTCTGGGCGCGGAAAAGGGAGGGAGGGGGAAAAGGGAGGGAGGGGGAAAAGGGGGGCGAGGGGCGGATGAGGGGGTTTGGAAGAGCACCGCCACCCGCAAACTCAGACCCAAGCAATCACAGCCGGAGTGCGATTGGAGTAGGGAGGGGAAACAGCAATTCAGTTGCAATGATAATAATAATAGTAACAACAACAACAATAATAATAGCAACAACAACAATAGCATTGCAGGGGGGAAAACAAAGCATTGACTAAAAGTCGCGATTCGGCCAGGGTTATATAGCTTCAACAATCGAGCTGCAAAACAAATTGCATTGCAACAAAACTGAATTGCAAAGGATGGGGGAGTGTGTGAAAGTACGAATGCGGCGAGGGTGGGTTGAGAGCAATCTTGTTTGGATCCTGAAGTGTAAACTTGTACTTGCAAGGGAGAAGGAGTTTGGAGTGTTTCAAATTTAGCCATCCTCCTCAGCTCCTTTAGTCCACCACACACAGACACACACACACCTTTTCTTTTCTTTTCTTGTTCTTCTTTCTCTTTTGGTTTTCTTTGTTTTTGTTTTGTTTTTTCCCTTCAAAATTGCTAGCACTTGCTGTGAGGAGGGTCAGTCAGCCAGAAACATTCCCCCAGAGCTGCCAGACCAGTTTTGGCCAGAACTGGGACTTATCTGGGTTTTCCAGTTGGACCAGCTGGCTGGGAAGCTGGAGGGTTTGTCAAGGGTTGCTCTGTCCTAAGGGAGTAGTGGCATCCCCTTTCCTATAGTCCTCTCCATTGAGGTACCCCCTGCCTCTGAGCAGGGACCAGTTGGAGTGATGAAGCAGGGAGTGGAGGGCTCTGAGGTCCCAGGGCAGAAACTAGGCTTTTCTGGAGAGTTTTAAGGAGTTACTTGGAATAGCTGTCTTTGCTCTACCCCTAATTTCATGGGCAGAAAAGAGCCTAGAGGGGTTTGAGTCCCCCAAGAAAAGCCATGTGCACCACTAGAAGGAGGCTGACTGGACTTTGCACTTGTAGCCTCTGAAAGGATGGGCTTTGTATCAAATATGGCTACTCACATCCCCTTTGCCTAGCCCAGACCTGGCACATGTCATGGGCTCAGTGAATTTTGGGTGAAAAAGAATAAATTAAAATCCACATTCACACATCCATCTATCCATTCATTCTTTCATTCAAGCAGCCAATATTTGTTGGGTACACAGGACATACCAGATTCTGGGTTAGGCAATGATAGTAGAGAAATAACAAGCAGGACAAACACCTGGATTCTTAGACCTTGTAGTGTTAGTGTATCAGAACTTGAGTCTCAGTTGGATTCTTATGCCAAAATTAGGTTGTTGTATGAATAACACACTTTCCTCCTCCTTGCAACTTTTACAGTCCAGCCATGGAGTATTAAGAAAGTATGAGTAAGTAATGAGATTATAGTGAGAAAAGTGTTCTCATGGAGAATGCTTAGTGGGAGTGGTGGACTCAAATGTTATATTTAAAAAAAAACCTATTACAAAAAACAAAATAAGTTGCACCAAAATGTTAATAGTGACTCTGAGGTTTTGACATTGGTGTGTGATTTTGTTTGCCCTCATACTCTTATACTTATTTTCTTTTATTCTTTATGCTTATATTCTTATTAGTATTTCCCATAATGAAGCATTTATAATAAAAAATTAAACATTATAAAATTAAAACACTGTGCTCACATTTTAGATCAGCTGTACTAGTGATGAAAAAGATAAGCCCAAACCCTCAGATTTCTTCACTGTGACCTGAGGAGTTCTTTATGCAGGTGAACTCCACCAATACTTAATTCCCAGAATCAAATGTACAGGTCAGATTAAGTTCACTTAAACCAATACAGTGGTATATATGCAGTGGCAACCAGACATGACTGCAAGTTGTCCTGATGCAGACATTGGTCCTATCTTGCTCCACACTGTTGCAGAAAAGAGAAGCGCCACTCTGAGTTGTCCAGCATATTTACCTTTCTGATTATGATTTATATGGGTGGTCTTAATGAGTTTTTATTTTAGTAATACATTCCTAAAAATGGTGGTCAAGGGGAAAAATGTATAGCAAGATTTCTGATAATTTACAAGATGAATCATGTAAAGTTGAGCATATTTAATGAAAGTCCATGAAACTCCAGACCATTGGTTGCAAAAGATTCCAGGTAACATCATAGTCAGTCTCTCCTCTGCATCTCAATGAGGATCACCCCAAAATATGTTACCAGTCTCATCTCTCACCATCTGCCTGGACACAGTACACTTCACCAGAATGTCCTATAAACTATTTGACATTTTCCAAGAAGCATGTTTTAGCAGGTACCCAGCCTTTGTGCTTGTTCTGTTCTCATCTGGGATGTTCTTCCATAAGTGCATGGTGACCACCCCTTATCCTGAAATCCAGCTCAAATGTCATCTCCTTTGTGAAGCTTTCCCCAACCACCCATATTCCTCAAGCACAGACCAGCATCTTCCTGCTATTTTATTCCAGAATTTTTTATTCCTTCATTAGAATGAGAGCTCTTTGAGAGCAGACAAAGGCTAGATATTTTAGCATCTCACCTATGTGGCACATCGGGGGTAAATGCTTATAGAACCAATATATTAAAGATAGACACAAATGGAGTGACAAACCTTTTGAACAGTTTTTCTTGAAAACCTTTTCTGATTTGGAGCTGAATCCCAACTCTGTCTTTTCCATTCTCAGTGACCCAACAGCAAAACACTGATAACATTCCTAAGGCAGAGCATTCATGAAGATATTCAATATCACTGTACCCTCAGGTTTAAACAAATTCCCTACCCAAGTCTGTGTGAATCATTATCATAAGTTGGCAATTCCATTTCCCAAGAACCTCAAAAGAAGAAAAGACTAGGTGATGAAATTGATGCCAACAGAGTAAACACAAGCTCAAATACATTTTGCCTAGAGGTCCACAGAATAGATTCTGGAGAATGAATGGCAGGCATAGAATGCTCAGAGACACCGTGGACAGCAACAGAAAGACATCCAGTTTCTGCTTCCTGTATGACTCACACATTCAATCTACTGACACAGCCACATGGTGAACCTACTCTGTGCCACACAGTGCCTCCCCCCCACCCTGCCCCGCTGCCAGTGAAAACTGAGTCAGAGTACCTGCTTCTTGGCCCAGATACCATAACCCTGGGCTTTATACATTCCAGAAACTTAGGATATTAGTGATTCATTGATTGGCAAGCAGAGATACTTCAAAAATACAGATTCTAGACTCAAAGAGGCAATTTAAAACATCAAGTTCAACCAAATCATGGTTGAATCCCCTCTTCAACATTGCTGCCAGATGGTCATTCAGATGTTTTTTATACAGTTCTAATGTCAGGCATTTTACTACAATCCTTAACTTTTGGACACTACCAACTGTGTCTTCTTGCACGGAGACAGTCTCTTTCATCTTGTAACTGCCATGTGATGCTCACTGAGAATCTCTTCCCAGCCCTTCAGACATGGGAAAACTCAGTCTCCTTTTTTCCCAGGATCTTGTCTGCCTTTGGCCAAGACATCTTCACTTCCTTCACCTGTCTCTCTTCACATGACTTGTTTTCAGTGATGATAATCGGGATATCTCCTTGTCCACCAAAGCTTACTATAAACTATATATGCTAGGCACTGTATTCATGATCTTAATTTTACTCAGAATCATTGAAGATAATGTTATTTTCCCCTTGATAGAGTTGAGAAAATTAAGATTTAGGGCAAAGCAGTTTAGTTCTGGGGAGCCTTGGAAGGTTTGTGGTCATATTTTCATTTCATTTCCTATGGTTTGCTCTACAAACAGTATGTGGAAGGACTGGAGGGAAAACAAGTCTGGAGAGAAGGAGGCCTATGATGAGGCTTACTGTCCTGTCCTGCCCCTCTCCTGACTTTCTCTTTCTGTGTGCCAAATGTACTTTGCCTTTCATCCAAGTCACGTTAATGGAGCAGAAAACGTACACACATCTGGGGCAGCTTTGCAACTGTGTCTTGTCTCCACTGTGCCTTCCTGTTGAGTTTTGCAAAGCCATGGGTTCGTGTCAAGCTCCTTCAGTGTAGCCAGCTGAAGCATGTTCAGTGGCAGCAGTGGGACTTATGTTTCTCATTATTGCATGGAATTCTCAATGTACTTGCAAAACTATTTTAAGGAGACCTGGGTTCTGTGAATTTTTAAAGCAATTGGAGCGTGTCTTTTCAACTTCTCTGCTAATGATTGATCTCAATTTTTTCATGATTTTGCCTTTTTTTCCCTGTGATGTTTGATTTGACTTTTCAAGTCTCTCCTTTATACATTTTTTTAAATGAGCAGTTTTAGGTTGGATACAAAATAAAGAGGAAGATGCAAATTCGCCATATACCCCCGCCCCCTCCCCACACTTATAGCCTACCCATTACCAATATCCCCCACCAGAGTGGTACATTTGTTGCAACTACGAAACTATATGGACTCATCATTATCACTGATGGTCCATACTTTTACGTTAGGGTTCACTCTCAGAGTTGTACGTTCTGTAGGTTGGGATATCTGTATTCACAATGATAGTATCATACAGGGTATGTTCACCTATTAAACCCTCCCCACTAGTCCTAATCCCTAGCAACCATCTATGAATGATCCTTCTAGTGTCTCTGCCTCCCTGAGCCTCACTCCATTTTCTGAACTGTGAGAGTATTGTGAAAATCCAGACAGGAGTTTTCTACCCTCTATATCTCAGGATCACCTGGAAAACTTTAGAAAGCATCCCACTCCTAGGTCCTATCCCTTGAGATTCTTATTCAATTAGTCTGGTGGGACACGGGCATTGATTTTTTTAATTCCCAGGTTATTCTAACATTAGATAAACTTGAATACCTCTGAGTTAGAAGATTTTAAGGTAACATGACAGACACATAAGAAATTGTCAACAAGTCATAAATATTTTTATGGAAAATATTCAGGGCTCTGAAAAGTCTATATAAATTTAGGCAAGTCATTTAACCA